GTTGGCCCAGGATCGAACATTGTTTCGTTCTGCTGTGCATGGAGTCGCTATGAGTCGGTTCCGACTCGATGGCACCTGACAACAACAACAACAATGAATGAACCTCAAAATATATAAATCAGGCTGTAACAGAATTGTAGTCTAAGCACTGGATTGTTAACCACAAGTTTGGCAGTTCAAACCCACCAGCCACTTCTAGGAAACCCTATACATACTATGAATTAGAGTCAGCTAGATGGCACTTAACAGCATTAAAGAGAATACTGGACAACTATATCCCGGTGTGGTCCTACAGGCTAATGTGCTGGACTGCAAGGTTGTTTTGAACCACAAGGTCAGTGGTTCAAGCTCATTAGGCACTCCTCAGAAACCCTATACAGGGTCACTATGGGTTGGAATCAGCACCACAGCACTTAACAATAACAATGACTAAAGATTGTGAGCATTTCTTCTTGTTTTTTGACTGTCTGAATGTCTTCTTTTGTGAAGTGTCTGTTCATGTCCTCTGCCCATTTTTAAACTGGGTTATTTGTCTTCTTGTTGAGGTGTAAAAGTGTTCTAGGGATTCTAGAGAGTAGTCCCTTGTCTGATATGTGACTGCCATTGTCTTAACTGCAATAGTGCCGGGCTGTTTTGATTACTGTGACTATGTATTAGGTTTTGAGATCAGGAAGTGAGAGGCCTCTTACTTGTTCTTTTTTTAGTAATGCTTTGCCAATCTGGGGTCTCTTTCCTTTCCACATAAAGCTGGTGATTAGTTTTCCATCTCTTTAAAGAATTATTTTGGAACCTGGATTAGAATTGCATTTTATCTCTAGATTGCTTTGAGTTGTGTTGATGTTTTCACAATGTTAAGTCTTCCTATCAATAAGCATGGTATATTTTTCCATTTTTCTAGGTCTCTTGGTTTCTGGTAGTAGTGTTGTGTAGTTTCTTTGGATAGGTCTTTTGTTTCTCTGGTTAGATTTATTCCTATGTATTTCATCTTTTGCAAATGGTATTGTTTTCCTGATATTCTTTTCAGAGCTCTCTTTATTAGTATAAAGGAATCCAACTGACTTTAGTATATTGTTCTTGTACCCTATCATTTTGCTGAATCTTTCAATGAGTTCCAATAATTTTCTTGCTAAGTCTTTGGATTTTCTAAGAATAGAATCATATCATTTGCAAATAGAGTTTTACTACTTCTTTGCCAATTTGGACGCCTTCATTTTCATTTCCCATGCTTGTCTTACAGCTCTCGCTAAGGCTTCCAGCAAAAACATTGAATAAAAGTGATGATAAAGGGCATCCTTGTCTGGTTACTGTTCGCCAGAGGATGGTTACAATTTCTCTGTTGAGAGTGATGTTGGCTGTTGGTTTTGTATTTGTTGTTGTTGTTATTAAGTGACTTGGAGTCTGCTCTGACTCAGTGGCCATGTATGGGTTTCCCAGGCTTTAAATATTTGCTGGAACAGAAAACCTCATCTTTCTCCCCTGTAGCAGCTGGCAGACTCAAACTGTAGACCTTGTGGTTCACAGTCCAGTGCTTATTGCATGGAGCCACCATGCCCCCATTGGTTTTGTTTATATTTGCTAGATTATGTTGAGGAATTTCACTTCTATTCCAGTTTCGTTGACTTGTGTGTGTGTGTGTTTAAATCAGGAATGGGTGCTGGATTTTGTCAATGGCTTTTCGGTATCAATTGATATGATCATATGGGATTTTTCCTTTGTTTTATTTATGTGGTTGGTTACATTGATTGTTTTTCTAATATTGAATTATTCCTGCATACCTGGTATGAATCCCACATGGTCATGATGATTAAAAAAAAATTTTTTTTTTATGTTGTGGGATTCTATTGACTAGGATTCTGTTGAGAATTTTTGCATTCTATGTTCATGAATGATATTGGTCTATAATTTCCTCTTGCAGTCAGTGATAGTTATAATATTAGAGTTAAACTTGCTTCATAAAATGAATTTGGAATCTGACCATTCTTTTCTATAGTCTAGAATAATTTGAGTAGGATTAGTGTTAACTCTTCTATGAATTTTTGGTAGGATTCATCAGTAAATCTATCTGGGCCCTGACTTTTTTTTTGGTTGGGACTTTTTTAATGACTTGATCAATTTCTTCTTTTATAATAAGTCTTTTCACGTATTCTACTTTCAGCGTATGTTAGTTTAAGTAGATCATGTGTTTCTAGGAATTTTTCCATTTCTTCTACATTTTTGTGTTTTGGAGTACAATTCTTTTAAAGTTTTTATTGTGAATTGAGTGAAAGGTCACAAGGTTTTAACATTCAACAAATCATGCACCTTGTTTCATTACAATGATTATAATCCCCTCCATGTACCATCAGATAACAGTATTTCTCTCCATTCACTTTAACTTTTTTTTTTTTTAACACTCAGGCATGTATAATAATTTACACCACCAAAGGACACCTTCTGCAAGTCTGACTCCTGGATGCCAGCTCTTAGTCCCTCTCTTCCCATGAATCCAGAGTCTTCAGCTGCATCCTCTCTCCATGTCCCCATCTCTGCCTTCATCTCTGGTGTCGCTGCTTCTCTGGATAAGGTCTCACATTCTGCTTGTGCTCTTATCCACTGATGGTCCTAGGGTCCTTTGTTTCTGGACTGCAAGACTAACTACTCCCATTTTTGATACAAAACTTCTACCTTTAGAATTGTTAGAGTCACAATTAGTCATGACAATGATTACTCACTATTGAATCATAAGAATCTTATCCCCATCTCTTTTCACCAGACCCATCTAGACAAGATGAAAACTATTCAATGGGGACTATTTCTTCCCCCACATGCTCTTAAACTAAACTCCCTCTTGAATCCTTGTAAGTCTGTCACTTTGTGACTTTATTACCCCCTTGTTTTAGGTAGCCAATATCTAAGTTACCCTGTGTACAGAGGGGATAGCATTGATACTTGATGTGAAGGCTCCTTCACTCTCTGTTGGCATTTAGAGTTACTTACTACCTTTATGAGTACGGAGTCCTGGTGTGGCTCTGTGGGCTAATGCATCAGACTGCAAAGTCGTTTGAATTGTAATTTCAGTGGTTCAAGCTCACCAGCTGCTCCTTGGAAACTCTATACAGGGTCCCTATGGGTTGAAATTAACTTGACAGCACTTAACAACAACAACACCTCCATGAGTATAGGTCAAGTTCATCAAATTGTAGCAATTTACTCTCGTTTCCTTTATCAAAAATTGTTGGGTTTTTTTTTTTTTTTCCCTCTAGTTGAGTTCTGATTATTAAGTCATTGAGGCTAGATCAAATGAGTACTGTCAGCAAGTTTGGGTATTCTTGTGCATCTCCCCTCACTTCATATTAGCTGGATGCTTCACTCTAAGCTCTAGCCCTCCATAGTTATGTCCTTATCCATGGGCTCAGGTGTCCTCAGGTCTCACCACACTTCAGACCAATCAACCTTTCCTCTTCTTTCTTTCATCTCCAGGTCAATGGGAGTCTATGGAATGTGGTTTAACTGAGCCCATTTCTTCATCGCTGCCTTTCCCTCTTTTCCACTCACCAGTAGACCAATGTGGTTGTCAGCAAGCTTATATGCCTGCTCATGTGTTCCCTTTGAGTTTCAGTGTTAGAGGGGTGCTTGTCCTGAAGGAACTTGATTGCTTGCTTTGATGGCTTCCTGGAGAACAGCTTGTTTATTCTTGTAGTAGTCAGTCATACTACCATTCCTTGTTTTGGGTTTTTCCTGCTGATCTTTCTTTGAAGATGTATCTTCTGTCAGGCTAGACCAGCCTTGTCCATTCTAGTGAGAATGTCCCACTGGAGTTTCTGTTATTATTCTTTTTATTTCTAGTGTGACAACTCCCATATTCATTTTTAATTCATGTTATTTGTATCTTTTCTTGTTAAATTTGCCAATGGTTTCATGACTTTATTAATCCTTTCAAAGAACCAACTTCTTGTAGATTCTTTCTATTATTTTTCTGTTTTCTATTTTATTTATCGCTGCTCTAACCTTTATTATTTCTTTTGTTCTGGTAACTAACTGTAGGTTTACTTTTTTGTTCTTTTGCTTGTTGGGTTAAGGTGTTGATTTTGGTTCTTTCTTATTTTTGGATTATGCATTTATTATTATAAACTGGACTCTGAACACTGCTTTTGTTGTGTCCTAAAGGTTGTACATATTGTATTTTCATTTGATTCAAGGAATTTTTATCTCACTTTTTAATTGGTGGTGCTGTGGGTTAATGCGCCAGACTACAAAGCTGTTTGAACTGCAACGTTAGTGGTTCAAGCTCACCAGTGGCTCCTCAGAAAACCTATACAGGGTCACTATGGGTCGGAACCAAATCGACAACATTAAATGACAACAACAACAACTATCTAGTAGCTTTTAAACATGGTGTTACTAAGTTTCCATGTATTTGACTTTATTTCCTTGATCTTCCTATTGTTGATTTCTAATTTTATAGCATTGTGATCTAAGATAACGCTTCGTAGTATTTTTGTGCTTTTAAATTTATTGAGGTCTACTTTGATTGTGCTCATGAGGAATCTGTACATGGACCAAGAGGCAGTTGTTCAAACAGAACATGGGAATACCAAATGGTTTAACATTAAGAAAGATATGCGACAGGGTTGTATTCTTTTACCGTACTTATTCAACCTGTATGCTGAGCAAATAATCAGAGAAGCTGGGTTCTACGAAGAAAAACATGGCATCAGGACACTCCACGTCATTAACAACCTGCGATATGCAGATGATACAACCTTGCTTGCTAAAAGTAAAGAAGACTTAAAATATTTACTGATGAAGATCAAAGAGCACAGTCTTCAGTATGGATTGCATCTGAATGTAACGAAAACAAAAATCATCACCACTGGACCAATAAACAACATTCTTATCAATGGAAAAAGATTGAAGTTGTCAAGGACTTCATTCTTCTTGGATCAACTATCAACACATCTGGAAGCAACAGTCAAGAAATCAGATGACATATTGCATTAGGCAAATCTGCTGCACAAGACCTATTTAAAGTGTTGAAGAGCAAAGATGTCAGCTTGAGGACTAACGTGTGCCTGACCCAAGCCATGGTATTTTCATTAACCTCATATGCATGTGAAATCTAGACAGTGAAAAGGAAGACTGCAGAAGAATTGATGCTTTTGCATTATGGTGTTGGAGGAGAATATTGAAAGTGCTATGGGCAGCCAAAAGAACGAGCAGATCTGTGTTGGAAGAAGTGCAGCCAGAATGCTCCTTGGAGGCCAGGATGGCCAAACTTCGTCTCTTATACTTTGGACATATTGTCAGGAGGGACCAGTCACTAGAGAAGGATATCATGTTTGGTATGGTGGAGGGTCAGAGTAAAAGAGGAAGACCCCCAGTGAGATGGATTGGCAAAATGGCAGCATCAATGGGCTCAAGCATGGCAACAATAATAAAGTTGGCCCAAGATCAGGCAGTGTTTCATTCTGCTGTGCATAAAGTCACTATGAGTCAGTACCGATTAGATGGCACCTAACAACAACAACTTCGTGGTATAAGGTATGATTCATTCTGGATAATGTTTCATGTGCACTGGAGAATAATATATATGGTGCTGTTGTTCAGTTGAGATCAAGTTGGTTGATTGTGTTGTTTAGTTCTTCTTTGTCTTTGTTGAATTTCTTTCCAGTTGTTTTGTACTTCATTGAAAGTTATGTTCTAGAAGAACTTCCGGCACTTCCCTGACCAGGCACCTCAGGTAGGGCAGTCTCAGGGAAAAGGGGCAGAATCGCACATAGGAAACCTCTGTCTAGCAAACAGACAGCCTTTGAACAAACATAAGATCTTATATTTCAACATTCTGAACTCGTTTTTTTAAAAGATCAAATTACTGAGGAATTACAGGCATTTTGAGCTTTTGCCTGCCTGCACGTGGCTCCCAATTCCGCACCCACGCCAGCAAGTGCCTCTGCCCCCTGCAGACCTTGGAATGCAGGGCTAGAGCAACCCCACTTAGAAGGCTGCATTTCCAGAGGAAAGGAAGCATAAACTAACAAAGCCGAACAAATAGAGAGGGATATTGGCGCGGATATTAGGAAATTCAGGGTACCCATGGTACAGAGACACTGAGAGAGGCATCTTTTACGTCATCAAATACAGAAACTACCTCCCTGAAGCCATTACCCTTAGCCCGCTACTGCCCTGGACTAGACCAGCCCTCTGCCAAGCCGCTGAAGTCCAGGGACCACAAGGCCTAATCTGCCGCATAGCCAGGTCGCGGAGGCCCAGGGCCCGGGAGACCCAACCCACCATCAGCCCGATCCCCGAGCCCCAATCCACCCAACCTGCCCGCTGAGGCCCAAGCTGCCCCATGCCCAGCTGCTGATACCTAGGCTCCCTGAGGCCCAAACCACCCACCTGAGGCCCAAACCACCCTCCCGAGGCCCAAACCACACGCGTGAGGACCAACACTCCTGCAGCCCAGTCTCTGACGCCCAGGCCCCCAGAGGCCCAAACCGTCCGCCCTAGGCTCAACCCACCCGCCCGAGGCCCAAATGGCCCTCTGCCAAGACCCAGGCCCAACTGAGGGCCAAAAAAGTTACTCTGAGATAAGCAATAAGGAGAGTGAAAAGGGAAGACCACATCCTGATCACATCTTCCTGGAGGGAATCAGAAAACATAAAAAATTACCAAAACACATACTTAATTAATTATTAG